CATGTTTTCTTTCAAAGGCTTACTGTAGGTTGAGAGATGCAAAATAACAAGTAACAGTTTTGCATCTCAAAGAAAGCTGCATTTCAAAGGCATTGGTGTGCGTTAGCCCTGTGACACATTCCATAGGCAAAGCAAACTCAGGCAACTCAGCAACATGCAGGAAAGGGCAGCTGGAGTGAAGGAAGCAGCCACAAAGCCTGTGTCTGAAAGGGACACCTGAGTGCAGAACACAGCGTCTGTGTGCACAAGTTCAGAAGTTCAGGAGCAGGTTGGCCTTCTTCCATTTGCCATCCCTCCCTGAACTTCTCCTCCAAGTGACACTCCATACAGGAAAGAGTGACATGTAAGGGAATGACACAGAAGCTGAATCTAAGTACAGTCTGCTTAATGAAAACCGAGATTGTGGAGGACATGCCCTCTCCATGTTCATGCTGTCAAAATGCATCATTCATACATTCTCCAGCCTCCTCACATTCCTGGTGGACATGGTACACCCAGCTTGCCACTGCCAGCATTCTATAATCCAGCTCATAGGCCAAGACAGCGGGCATCCTCCTGAATTCATAGTGAGGTAGCCAGCCTCTTCGGTCAGCTCCTGACTATGACAACAGCAAATGACACAGCAGTCACAGAGGAAGGATAGAAAGGTGTGAATCTAACTTTCAGGTTGGGGAAGAAGAGCCTGGCTTCTAGGGAAGGTTCTGGAAGAAAACTAGGCTTGTGGTTTCCACTGCCCTGGGTCTCCCAATAGGATGGGCAGCTGGGCACTCAGGAATGAGCTCTGTCAGCTGTCACAGAAAAGAGGCCCAAATGGCTCCCGATCATATTGTCACACAGAGTCTAATGGAGCCCCACCTCCTCTGGCTGAGAAGCGAGGATGCCCACTACAATAACTTCAGCTGCATGGGCTGCCTGAGAACTGCGGTACATGCTTTACTTCACTTATGCCTCAAAGTAGTCCATAAGCCAGGGACCATTACAAGTCTCACCTTACAGATGAGAAAACTGAGGTTTACCATTGGGAACAGAGGAAATGCCCCCCACCGCGTGTTATGTAACTAGTAAGCAATAGAGCTAGGACTTGAAATCTCAGGTCTGTGTTTTTTTGTTTTTTTTTTTTTTCCTAGTACTGGAGGTTGAACAGAGGGACCTCCACACTGAGCTACATCCTCAGCCCTTCTTTTTATTTTCTATTTTGAGACAGGGTCTCAATAACTCACTACATTGCCTAGGCTGGGCTCTAACTTGCAATCCTCCTGACTCAGCTTCCCAGAGTGCTGGAATCACAGGCTTGTACCACCACATCTGGCTAGGTCTGTGCATTTAATAACATCTTGCTGCAGGATGCTGAGCTTGTGGGTTACCTCAAGTCAAGAGTCCACTTGTTCCTTGTGCTGCTGACACCGGTGGCACTTGGATATGTAGACTACTGACTGGGGTCATGTAACATAGCCTCACCAAGTCACAGTGAGTCCAAAAGAAATACTAAAGCCATGCAATGAAGTGTGTGTCTACAGACAGTTCTGTTCTTCCAGTCCTGTTAGCTGAAGTCCTATGACTACAAAAATCTCCCATAAAACTGTCCCTTTCTTATATGCATACCACATTGCTTTGTGGCCCTGAAGTGCCTTCCATGAACAAGTAAAGGCTATTTCTCCACCCCTTGAATTTGAACTTGACCACGAAATTCCCTATGCACATGTGTACTTTCTTTTGCTTGGATATCCTAACAAACCATGCTCTGTGGACAAATATAGATTAGGCTGTTGCATAATGAGGCACATGTAACCAAGTCATCCTACTGTCCCAGTCACTAACAAATCAATCACTGTCATATGAGTGAAGAGTAGGGTTATGCTGGACCACCCAGCCCCAGCCAAGATGGCCTGAATCACAAAAACTACCCCATCTGACCCACAGAGTTAAGATGAATAGTAAATATATGTTGTTTTCAGCCACCATGACTTGGGATGGTTTGTTACACAGCATAAGCTAGCTGACACAAAAATTTAGAAAGGAAAGCTCTGACATGTTTTATCAGCAATGCAATAGGACCTTGGCAGTATTCACCCCACCCAAGCCACCCTCTCCATATGTTATGTCTTTTCAAGAGAACCTGTTCTAAATCCAGGACAGTAAGCACAGTGTTTGTTTCTTTGTTTTGTATTGTATTGTTTGCTGCCTATCTCTCTCCCCAAAGCTTTGAATTCAGTGCTCCTCCTAGGAGGGTTCCCAAGCCTGCCTGCAGCAAAGTAGATTCATCTGATAGGAATGCAATCAAAATCTGAATGCATTAGATTAATCCTCGGAGATTCTTACTGCACTAGTTCTGGGTGAGGCCACAGATGGCTGTTCTGTTCTCTAGAATCATACTGTGAGGGTTTGAAATCTATCCATGCAGTTGGCTGACTGACAGATCATTTTCACCACAGTTCTCTCAAACTTAGACTGTTAGAAAACTGGAAATTCTTGTGCCCATCAAAGAAATGATATCTTTAATAAAGAATAAGACTCACAGCCTTTTCTGAAGCACCAGATTCTTCCTATTTGAAGGGCCAGTAACCAGGACCCTCAGCTGGCACATGGCTACAAAGTCACTGGCAGGTATATGGCTATTGCTGCATGAGACCTCAGATGAGTCCTTCAACCTCCCCTATGTTCATCTTTCCAATCTAGGATGAGGAATACATAGAATCATGTGCCATGAAGTCCTCTGCCATTTCTGAATGTATGACTGCACACTCATTATCGACATTCCTAACTCAATGGTCTATGCGGGGTCTTCTTGTGAAGTCAGTTAGCGAACCCTGCCTTCCCAATTTATAATAGCTAAATCTTAGAAACAATCAATGTTCCCATCAATGGATGGAAAAAGAAAATGTGGTTTTTATATACAATGGGGTACTATTCTGCCATAAAGAAGGATAAACTTGAGGCATCAAATGGGTGCATCACAAAACCATAATTTTAAGTGAGATAAATTGGGCACACAAGTTTAGATATCGCATTGTTTCTCATATGTGAGAAACCCAAAATGTAAATCAGGAGCATAATGGAGGATAGATATTAGAGAGTAGGAAGAACATGTTCAAATGGGAAGGAGAACAGGAGAGGGGGGAAGGGAGAAGGAAGGCAGAGAAAAAGGATTTAACAAAGAGAATGAAAGGAAAAAATGGAAACAAAGTCTTGTAAATGGAGAAAGGAAGAAGGGTTGAAGGGAGGGGAGGAGAATGGAAAAAAGAATTATGATACATTATGTGCAGGTACAGATTCCCTATGATGAATGTGGTCATTATGTATGGCAAACATGTACCAATAAAAAAAGAAATACTGAACACCAACCAAGGTGCTAGGCACCTGCCAGACAGAGAGAGAGAGAGAGAGAGAGAGAGAGAGAGAGAGAGAGAAGCAAAACCCAGGGACTCCTGAACTGATCACATTTCCAAAGAAGAGAAAAGATAATTTTCTCTGGAAAACAAGATCTAACCAGAAAATAAGGCCCACATTTAAAAAGCATTTTTAAAAATGCTCATAAGATAAATCATAGTCCAAAAATAAGCCCCAGGGCTGGGGATTTAGCTCAGCGGCACAGCACCTGCCCAGCAAGTGGAAGGTCGTGAGTTCAATTCCCTGCACCGGAAAAAAACAAACAAACAAACAAAAATAAGCCCCAGCTAAGATCGTTAGCCAGATGAATGCTTTTTGTGTTTGCAGCACAGGACGTACTGAATTCTAAAATAACATTAATATATGATTAAGTATAAATAATATTATTGACATTAACACTTCCAATAAAAGATAGTATAAATCATAATTAAGTGTTTGTAAATATCCAAGTGGGCACCTTTGGGTGGGAGGTCAATACCTATGTAAACAGAGGAACTCAAGCTTGATCACCAGATGACCAATTGGAGCAGAGACAAACACAAATAACGTGCACTCTTGACAGCGAATGGACGTGTGTAATATGAATCTTCAGAATGCACTATGTCATGTGCTGTAACAGACATACTTAATGCAATCATGTGAAACAGAAATGCTTTCTCAATTTTGCTGCCTGCAATTTTTTGTTGCTTTTGTATGGGTCACTGATCTTAACTGTCATCGTTTTTGTTGTCACTCTTGTCTCGTAAGTCTACAATTAACACTTGATTTGCTGGAAACTCTGTGAAGGCCAGCCTGCAGGAGGTTGTGCCTCGGGTGAAGAATCCATGGGGTAAAGTCCCTGACACCTCTGTTGTCAATGCTCTACGAGCAGGCCACGTGGACAAGATGTACTCATGGAGGCAGAGCTCTATGGCTGGACATGAGACTGGGGCCAATGGTTCTGTGGGAAATACAGTCACAAGAATTTCGGGCTAGAGTTCGGGTTTGGAGTTGTGACAATGTTCCAGAAGATGATGATATGACTGTATTTGAATAAATGTAGAATTCTGCACATGAATAAATGTAGATTTCTGTACATCAAAATGTAGCTTTTTGTACATGCATAAATGATTGTTGTACATGAATAAATGCAGATTGGTGTATGTGAAAAAATAAGACATGCCCTAAAAATAAGCCCTATTGCATCTTCTGGAGCAAAATTTGATATAAAGCTCAGTCTCATTTTCAGGGAATACGATAGCACAAGAGTGGCCCTAAAGAAAGGACGAAAGCAGCTGCTTCTGACTCAGGTGCACGGACACACCAAGAATTCACTGTCTCTTAAGACTCACATGCTAGTAGACTAATTCACAATCTTATGGTATGTGGAAATGGGGCCTTTAAGGGGTTTTGACCAGCTCCTGAGAGAGGAGCCCCAACAATGACATTACACCATCGTGAGAAGAGACACCAGACCTTCCCCCTCTGCCTGTGAGGACACAGCAAAAAGACAACCATCTGCAGGCCAGAAAGAGTTATATGAGACCCAGAATCTGGAAGCACCTCAGTCTTGGGCTTGTGAGAAGTAAATGTCTGTGTTTACACCATCCGTGTGTGGCATTTTATCATAGCAGCTCCTGCTAAGACAAAAGCCCTCCTGAAAAAGGTGAGACTTCAGTTGAAAATGCCAGGAAGAAATAAAGTAGGAAATAAAGAAATCAAGAGACAGGTGGAAGCCAAGGCAGAGAAACCAAAGAAGGTCACTTCATTCATGAAGTTAGTAAAGAAAGGGAGAAAGAGCTTTCTTTTTACAAGCTTATCAGAATACATATTGGAGGTATATTCATTAAGGAATGAATGAATGAATGAATGAATGAGTGAGTTCCATGGTTCATCCACTTCATAGGCAAAACATCAGTAACAAACACATCATGATCAAATAGTTGCAGATCAAGGCATTTGGTAAGTATCCACACTACACTTCTCCCAGGAGGCTATGAGCTCTGAAAGGAGAAAGGCCTAAGTTAAGTAACTCTCCAAAAGTTATACAACTAAAAATTCAGAGTTAGGATTTGAATCTAGGAATCTGAACTTCTGAACATGAATATTCAGAATATGAACTTCTGAAGCAGTAACTCCACTGTCTCCTCTTAGGGGGCTCAGGAAGTATTTGTTGAGGTAAAGATTTATACAGGATCAAGACTTTATAGTGTCTTAAAAAAATAGTACACATTTTTAAGTGAATAATGATTTTAAAACAATAAGAATCCCAAATTTTTTAAAATTCCAAATTTAAGTATAAATCCTTGGTTAGAGATCATGGAAAATCTTTAAAAAGCTAAAATCTCATAATTTCAACAATCAGCAAAAACTACTACAACCATGTGGCATTGTCCCCCTCTTATACTGTAACTACCTTTTATTTTATACCTCTAGAGTTATAATTTCCCTTAAAACTATATCATAAGAATTGATTACCTCATCAAACGTGTTAAAGCTTATATATTTAACCCAGCCCATAATATTTTTGTCACATTACCTGGTGCAATGGTTTCCTTGGTGACAAACACCTGAGATGTCCCCAAGTTTTTATAATAATAAACTAATACCTCTCAATGCTTCTAAGGTTTTTCTTGGGCATTAAAATAAATCCCTAGCATTTTAAAGTTCAATAAGTAATTGAGGCAAAATAGCTCAAATTATTAACCAAGTGTGAAACTGGGGACATGACTAAGACTTCAATGTTGCCTGATTGGCAGCAGTGGTCTGGGGCTTGGGCATCACTGGATGAACAGACAGGACCTCTACATACACCAAAGAAGCTAGATGGACTGCAGCCTGCCACTCAGGATAGCCTGAGCATCCCTGATCAAGAAACTTGGGACCAGAAATGTTTTGATATTGGATTTCCCCCCCCACTCTCCAGTGGAGGGCTTTAGTAAATTTCAACATATATGATGAGATATATTCAGACAGGAACTGGTATAATCATAAAGTTATTTATGTTCCATATACACCAAATACAGAGAGCATGAAGGTAATTTTGCATGATATTTTAAATAATTTCATACATGAAACAAAGTTTCCCAATGGGAGAGTTTTCCCCTTTTGATGTCAGATCTGTGCTCAAAAAGCTTTGGAATTGAAAGTATTCTGGGATTTCTGGGTCGAAGATACTCACCCTGCAGAGTAGGGGATGCAAGACTTAGGAGACAGCCAGACAGAAAAGAAGCTGCCAAGGCCTCAAGTGCCCCAGGTAGGGTCACTTGAACTTGATGGGATGGCTGGTAGTCAGGAGTTTCTGCACCTAAGGACCGGAGGGCCTCGGGGCCAAAATGATGAGTGACACACCACACCTTTGAGCCACCATCAAGAACCAAGCTTGACACAAAACCAGGAGCTCCTCACTGATGCTGGAGAATCAAAGCCCTCAGATACTCCATTCACTCTCTTATATACCTGAGGCTGAAACGGAACTGCTATCTACACAGAATGAGTCTTTTCCCATACTCTACTATATTGCTTCTTACTACCATTAATTGTGATATGTCAACTTGACTTTAGTGAGAAAATCTTTAAAGATTGGTAAAGCAGTTCTGGGTGTGTCTGTGGATGACTGATAAACCAGCAAATGGAGGTGAGAAGACAACAGCTGGTTGTGTGTAGCCTCAACCAACAGGCTTATACCCTGAATGGAATTAAAAGGGAAAGAAGACGGAAGTGCACTCATTTTAAAGAGCTCCAGTCTTCCCGAGTGGATGCACCCTTTGCTTCCACAGCCATTGGACATTGGTGTCCAGGTTCTTCACCCTTCTGAGGCAGACTCCTGCCAGCGACTCTTCAGGGAACTTCTAGGCCTTTGACCTTGGCTTGGTGATGCATCCTTGATCCCTCTTCTTCTGGGGTTTCCATCTTCTAAAGCTGAACAGCTACTGGCTTCCCCTCACTCTCCAGCATGCAAAGGACTGCTGTGCATTCTCCTGCCTCTGATCCTGTAAACCTACCTAATCAATCCTCTTGTATAATTATACATATATTTTTGGTTAATTCCATTCTTCTAGAGAACTGTAAGTAATACACCTCTACTCTGAGGCACTTTCTTTGAATTAAGACTGGTTATTTGGAGGTCTCAGTGGTGAATATAAATTTCATCTATAAATATATATTTTAAAAAGTCTTACCTGGATGATTCCTAGTTTGTCCTGGTAAAGGATTCTTTGATTATATTGTTTTGTTTGGTTTACCATAAGTTTATTTAGGATTTCACACAAGTTAGGCCTGTGTTCTTGGCCACATTGCTTAATCTAGGAAGCAGGTATATCAGATTGCTGGAGCTATCATAAGAAAATACCACCAGCAGGTTAAAAGTCAGCAACTTCTTTTCACAGCTCTGAGGGCTGGAAGTCCAAAGTCAAGGTGTTGGTGGCTTATGTTCTCTGCAAAAGGCCTCTCTGTTGTTTTTTTACATGATCTTTTGTTGCTTTTCTGTGTCCTGATTGCCTTTTTGTATAAAGACACAGTCAGATTGGGGCAGGATGTACCTTTGTGGCCACATTTTAATGTAATCACCTTTATAAGATTCATCGCCTTCAAAATACAGTGATGTTCTGAGACACTGGGGGTTAAGGCCTCAAACATATGAATTTGTGGAATGTGATTCAGCCCATACTGAGGGCTGAGGGAATTGGGCCTGGGTCCTTCACCTCTATCAAACAATCCCTTCCTTTCAGTAAGTCATTGATCCATGCTTAGCATTTCCTCTGTTCTCCCAGGTTTTGTAAAACAATTTTGTTTACAAGAGAAAATGCTAATGAGCCCCAAAACACTGGAACAAAAGGTCAAAGCAACATCTGTGAAATTATCACATGCCCTTTAAAAGTCTGAGAAAGTATCTGAGTCACATTAATAGCACAGGGACCACCATCCCAAAACATGATTCCTATACCTCCCCCTCACGGTCTTTGTTTTATTTACTTTTTTTTTATTCTGGGGGCTAGTTTGCTTTTGCACATTTTACAGTATTCCTGTTAAGCGGGAAAACTTCTTTACTGCTATAACCCCCCCCCAAAAAAATGACTTTGGGAAAACCACCTACAAACAAAAAAATAGTCCTAATTTTATCAAGTTATAGAGGGGTTCCAAACCTTCTGAAGCTCATTAGCACTTTCAAAGCATAGAGTTATTATGGCAATGTATTTCTATCTATAAATCCTTTGGATCACATTCTGCAAGCGTTTCTGCCCACATAATATGAGGTCATCAAATGAATGTTATTAACCAGCACTTTCAACTCCAGGAAAATTTTATACACTGGTTGTTTTGCACTGTGTAGAAAAATCTCAAATTTAAAATAATTACAATGCATTATAAACCAGGAAATAGAGTTTTGTATTTATATCATACTCTCAACACTAAAGTAATCATAATAATGAAACTAATACTTTATTAAGCCTCTCCTTTTCAAACTATGCTGAAAATATTCATGCATATTTTTCTATAACCACTCGAGGAACAAGCAGTGTTGCTCTTTGCCTTTTGGTTTTTAAGCCATCCAGCATTTATGCAGCAACTAAATCAGTATATCAGGTACTAAGTGGGGATATTTATATATTCCAATGTTCTCATTTATATTTTGATCTAGTTTTCATTGTCAAGATCTGCTAAAATTTTACAGATATATTAAGTATGGTTTCGAATTAAAACTTTAAAATGTCTTCATGCATATTAAGATTTTAAGAAACACTATCTTTAAAACAGGAATCATTTCTTGCCAGGTATGATGGCTCATGCCTAATAATCCCAGCACTCCATGAAGCTGAGGTAGGAAGATTGCAAGTTCAAGTCCAGCCTGGACAATTTAGTGATTTAGCAACACAATGCACTATTTCAAAATTTTAAAACATTTTAAAATTTAAAATAGGTGCTGGGGGCACAGTATGAGAGGGAGGCACAGAATGTCAAGGATCCCTGGGAGTGGCACAGCAAGGCTGTGGCTCAGAGGCCAGAGCAAAACCATGTGCACCTCTGTACACTACTGGCAGAAACGTAAATTAGTCCAGCCACTATGGAAGTCAGTATGGAATAAACTAAAATGAGAACCAACACATGACCCAGTTATACCACTCCTTGGTACATACTGAAAAGAATTAAAGTCCCTGAAATGTAAGGATAACTGCATACTTGTGTTTATTTTGGTACAGCTCACAATAGCCAAGGTACAGAATCAGTGTAGATGCCCATCAATAGATGAAAGCATGAAGAAAAGGTGGCATATACACACAATGGAGTATTATTCAGCCAGAGAGAAGAATGGAATTATACCACTTCCAGGAAAATAGATGGAACCAGAAATCATCACATTAAGTGAAAGAAGCCACACTCACAAGGACATGTATCATATTTTTCCTAACATACGAAGTAAAAACAAAGCAAACAAACAACAACAACAACAAAAAAAAAACACACATGAAAGTGCAACAGCAAGCAGAAACACTGACATGACACCCAGGATTTGGAGGCAGATTTATTTACATCAACAGGCACTGATTGGGATCATTCTCAGACTATCAGGCCCCAATTTCTGGTGGTTTAGGGCTTATACTGGATAAGCAAGGAGGAAGTACAGAGGTAGAATGGCTTGA